CCAGCCCGTCAAAAATGAATGGATTAAAAATTATCGACACCACACATATCCAAAGTTAGCAAAGAATCAATCTTTTGCGAGCAGCATGCACAATGCACATTGCATGCGTGCTTTATTGACTCGTTTTTGAGTCTTGCACAGAAATAAGCTATGCAGTTATGGTTTTTGTCTCAGTTGCGAACCCCTGACTCCACTTAACAGTTCTTGGCCCAGCCCATCCACAGCCCATCGATTCTTCACATTTGAGGGCCCAGCCCAGCCCATGGCCCATTGGGCTGGCCCGGCCCATGGTGAACACTGCTGCAGACATGCCGAACCGCCTGCCTGACGTCCTCTGGCTTCAGCCCACGAGCAAATGCATCCACGCCCCACGGTGTTTTGCAGTTCCAGAAGTGTGGTGGGAGGGTTGCGCCGGAATTCCGCCAGTCCAAAACCAAAAGTCTAGTGGTGACAGATCTGGACTGCGAGCCAGCCACTCTCGCTCCATCAGTCTGCTAATGACGCGTCCGTTGAATCTCTCCGCGAGCCACTGCCTGACGTCTCTCGTTGTGTGCGCCGTGGCTCCATCCTGCTGCATCCACAGTTGTTGTCGGGTTGACTTTTCTGTGGACCTGTGGCCAACACCCATCTTTGAGGAGCTTGAGAGTTGAGGTACGAGTTCCCGGTCACTGTCGATCCTGGAGTCCATATTCTGCGGCTGCTCAAACTGCCTGATCTTGTGTGAACGGCGCATTGCATCGCATCTGTGCTGCTGACATCGCAGCAGATGGCGGCCATGAGACTGAATGCTTTTGGACAATTTTTGCACAGATAAAAAACAATCTTTTTGCAACAATGTTCATATAAAATTTCCGATCATTGTTTTATTTGAGATCCTCCAATGGTTCATTTAAAATGAACACTAATTATGAAACACCCTAGAATCAGCAGCCTGATTCAATAGCATAAAGAAACTACCGTATATGTTCACTATCTTAAAAAGTATGTGTCACTGGCTAATCCGGCCGTTTTCAAAGCGGGAGGGCCCAAAGTCGGTCAAGAGGTCATGGGTCTCTGAAGGTCATCAATGACAAAATCCCCCTTTTGATATAGTTAATTGGGATCGGAAATGAGGATTTATTGACTTATCTTGCATGCATGTCGTAATCTTCTGTGAATTGTGGTCCAGTGGAGATTCTGAAGGGACGGATTCGATTTTGAAAGGGGGGGGGGGGAAATAATCATGTTTTGGCCGCCCCTAGCCCTGCTTTGGCCCGGTTGCCCCCCCCCCCACCCTTTGATCCGCCAGTGGTCTATGAGCTTGATAAATGTGTTGTCAGGTCTTGTCCACCCAAGAAGGTCTTATTGCATACCTAGCGATCGACGTGTAGCGATCGACGTGTGAAGTTAACAAACTTGCTCTGGCGGCCTGACCTGACCTGATTCGGCAATTTTTCATTGGCAGAATGTGCGCAATAAATTTTTAGGAACACTCACCGAGTTTGCGTTGAAGAACTTGCTTTGTTTGGTAATGGTGTGTGTACAGGGTGTCTGGAAATTATTTGCCCCTTGTTCATTCAGCTAAATCCAACCATGCGCTTTAAGAACTGTTAAAAATTTGCTAAGACCGTGCCTCAGGCTATCCACAGCCGTCGTTTAGGCAGATGACCTAACCCGGTCACCTGACCTTGACACTTGCGAGGCGCCAGGGGCCAGTGTTTGGCAGGCGTAACTCGCACCTGAACGTGGTGTCTACTATGACCGAAGAAACTCTTTGACAAAGCGTCATCGCGCTGAAGTTATGGTGAAGACTGAAATGAAGTAGGAAGTCAAATCGAATCCTCTGTCCTAATGCCAATCGAAAACCTATGGGGAAATCGTGAAGGAGGAGTTCAGCAAGATTGAGCCAGCTCCCACAGAAAACGGACTAGAGGAACCTGTGAAAGGTGTGGCTGAACATCAGCGCGGATACACTGGACATCTTGATCTATGAAATGCCAAAGCGGATGAGGGAATGGGTGGGAAAGGTCAGGGGATAAATCGGTAAATAAACCATTACCCGGGGGCTCTTTGTTTATTAATTATGGCGGCGAGTTGATGGAGAGGCAAATAATTTCTGGACACCCTGTACAAGAAACATATGGGGCCCTTTTCGCCCCCTTCCCGCGAATAACGCTAAGAGACTTATTTCGGTTAGAGCTCAGGCCAATCTCTAAGAGGCCACTACTTGTTTCTTCAAAGGGTCCTTACTTAAAAGTTAAAAGGGTCCTTCTAAGGGCTAAATCCGGTTTGTGTGCACCACATCGGTATTTGATCCAACGTCAGTTGCTGAACTCTGAATACATATACAATGATATACATACTATATTGATTTCTAAAGGCGTCATGGCTTATAATACAATATGCGGGCACTTAGTATCCCTCACTTATCCCTCCTTGGGGGCTCTTGCGGGCTACTGAGGGCCCCCTAGCCCTATTAGTGGCAGGCTCCTGGCTACCCCATATTAGTGGCAGGGGGGGGGCTGTTTACGACCCCCCCTTGATATCTCGAGATCTAACGGGCCGATTTTCAAAATTCAAACGGCATTCGATTTGGCTCAACGAGATCTACATTTCTAAAAAAAATAAAATTAAAAAATGTCAATAGGGGGGTAGAGGGGGGTAAAAAAGGGCAAATTGCAGATACATTTTAGACTGTTTATCACGGCCAGGTTTCTGAACCAATCTTAACGCAACTTTTGCCGATCGATAGAGAATGAACCAGAAATTCACATGGATCCTGAAAATATGCATTTTCAAAAATCATAGGCGGATACAGATCATTGAGATTGGGGGTACACAAAAAGTATAGTAAATAAGGTTTTTGTTGGTACTGTTTCTAAAAAGGGTGGCAATGGTCTTGTTATGTTACAATTTTCTTATGAGAGAACGACTAAAATTATATTGGTCATGCATAGGCGGTGTCAGGGCACCTATGTTGGGAGGTAAAAAATAACCCCCCTTTTTGGACGCCTGGATCCGCCTATTATAGCAAAAACGTGTCAAAAGAGGATGCACAATAACTTTGTATATGTTATCACATGATACCTTTCATTCACTGTTCGTAAAACTGGTGCAGCATCGTGATCTTCGCCCAAATGACTCGCTTCACGAATAGGACCCCCCAATTCCCAGTGCTCTGGAGCCGCCCCTGGTAAAGTTATGAACTTGAAATTTTCAGGGAATGTGCCCAATTTAGTTTTAGGAAAAGTCAGAAAATTTCAGCATCGTAGCTTCAGCGGTTTCGGAGATATTCCCGAAAAACCTGAGGGGTGGATAAAAACAACCCCCCCCCCCTGCCACTAATAGGGCTAGACGGGCTCCTATGGGTCCTTTCAGTTCACTATAGCATAAGAGGTCTCCACGGGAGTCCTATACATCTGAGGGCGCAACCTGACGTCTGAGGTACATACCCAACTGCAGCTCCAATGGTCTTACACTGGTGGATCCAGGGAGGGGGACATTTAGGGCCATGCCCCCCCCCCCCCCCCCAAGGCCTGAAGTGGCTCGTCCCCCCCAACGATAATGAAACATAGTTCAATCTGAGTGCGTGGCATAGGAGCCGAGTTAGACAGGGGGTGTTCACCACCTCCCGGCCCGCAAAGGTTGCGGCAAGCACCGACCCGGAGCGGGTTAACTGGTCGACAAAGCAAAGTGAAGTGTTTACAAAGTAATATAAGGGCACGGGTCGGGTGGGCTACCATTTCTTTACTTTTCTTTTTGATTAAGAAAATATTCATCAATCACCGTGTCAGGGCTGTGACGAAAAATAAGTGGCCTAACTCCGATGAGAAAACAGGATTTGGGGGTACCATAGGTTTGGCTCCGGCATGAGTTGCCCCCCTCCCCCTCAAAAGCGCAAGCCTATATCCGCCATTGCCTACGTGATATCAGCTTCGGCTTGAAAGGCAGGGCATGTGAATGACATCGAGCCTGCAACATCTGTCCCCTAGACTTGGCCGAGTTTGACGAGTTCGAAGCGGTCGAAAACCTGGTTAGTGGCAGGCTTCTGAGTGACGGGGCCGCGGACAAAGTTCCGGCAGGTGGGGGCTACTGCTGCTGCTAGTGGTCCGTGGGCTGAATGCGTGCACACTGCACAACGGTTAGACGCGTACGGGGGTCGCCCGGGTCCGTGGCAATCCGTCAGCTGATGCTCGCGGCGATTAGCAGGTGGATCTCCCCGACAATGATGGAACAGGGATACAATTAGTGTGTGACCCAACTCATCCGCGGTGGTTTGAGAAGTGGCGAAGAGGTTGAGGCTCGAGAGTCATGAAATGGCATTGCCGACAAATGGCATTCTCTTTAGGAGACTAGGAGTCTGAAAATCATTCTTAAGGAGTGTCTGCCTGCGCCTGAAGCGTGGAAAAAACACTTCTAAGCGCAGGACCTGAGCTTCTAAAAAGGTCTGTGAAACGACGGCTAGTTGAGAAGGAGGAAAAAATTGAGAAGTCGAATAAAGGAAAACACAGAATGGGTGAAGGCCAGCCAAAGAAGCCCAGGGCCCCAGAGCAGGAAAGAGCAGCTCAACTGCGAAAGAGTTGGATCTGTGAGTTCTTTGTGGTAACTGGTAAGGGCGTCGTAGAAAAAATGGGTTGTGGCCGAAGTACCTATGCGATATGTGACGGGTGGTGCAATATAACATGCGCAAGCTGTGGAGGCGCTCATGGTTCAGCAAGCGGTACGAACTGATCGCCTTCGTATCAGTTTTCACATCCTTTTCTAGATTTTACTCCTCGCTTAGTTTTTTTTTATTATAGGTAAATAAAGTTCCCGATGGATATCTTGTTCAGAGGCGTGCATCATCTGCCTTGAGCTTGTTTCGCTGTTACATCTTGCGCTAAGTATGCTCGATTTCTTGTTTGAATTAGCCTTCAGCCTACATTTTCTCGGTTCAGTCAGACATACTTGGAGGGTAAGTTTCCTGTAGTCATACTGATATCAAACAATGATCGTATACGCGGTCCTTGCTGTAGCCAGGATATGAAATCAAACGACCATCCGGAAAGTGTAACATTGAAAAAAGAACGAAAGAAGCGGATTACACTGGCCGTGGTCATCGTCGCCACCATTGGACCGGGCGTGTCATGATGGTCAGAAGAGAGAGGTTGTGTCTCGCCGGAGCTGTGCGTGGTGCCACGCCCGCGGCCGCCGGGTCGCTGCTGCACCCGTCCGCGCCCGCACGCAGGCCGCCGGCCGCCGTATGTAAACAAGGCGTCGGTGGCGGAGCGACGCCGCCCGCCGCGCCGCGCCGCGGCCGCCGCTCATTGGTCGCCGCCACCGATGAGTGCTATATGGCTGTAAGCGCCGCCCCCCGGCAGCCGCCAGCGATTGGCATAACATTCTGTTTGATTACGCTAAATTGCCTGGAGCGGCGCTTTTGTCATCGTCGGACAAGTGGCGGCGCGCGGCGCGGCGGCTCGGGCGGCTCGGCCGTCAGTCGCCGCGGGACGCCCGTACCTACCACGGGGAGCGCCATGGCTGCGGAGCCGGACGCCACGGAGGACGCGGCGGCGTCCGAGTGCTGCGCGCCGGGCCCGGTCGGCCTCAACCTGAGCACCCGGCCGCGCGCCTCGTTCATGATCGGCGACATCCTGGCGCGGCGGCCGGCGCTGCTGCGGCTGGCCGCCCCGCCGGCCGAGGAGCGAGCCTCGTCTCCCGACTCGACGGCCAGCGGCCGCGCCAGCCCGACCCGTCTCAGCGCCTGCGGCGACAAGCCAGGTCAGTGGCTCCACGGTGGTCGCTCCCGTCTCATGGTACGGAAGGGTTACATACCGATGTTAGCGTTGATACTGCCGTTTAGCCGAGTCAAACCGTAACTCGGACAACAAGAATGAAAGTGCAGGGTGCCAGTCTCGTGCGCATCGAACGCCATCGGGCCTCTATCTATGAATGGGTTGAATAGGTGAAGCTATTTGTGCGAGATGCGTTTTGTTGACCGACTGTATCTCTTCTAGTACACAAATTATATGGCCTGAAAGGAATGTGTGTGTGTTTTTTTTTTGAAGACAGAGTTTGCTGGCCTAGTTCTTGCATGTTCCGGTCGTGCCTGTGCACTGTGCAATGTGCATGTTCAGCGAGATGGTTCTGTGCAGTTGCCTGCCAAAGGCTACATCGGATGTATGTAACCGCATTCACTCCCATCTTCATGCGCTACCCCAAGCGCGCGCTTCTCTCGTCTGTATCCCTCCCTCCTTTCAGCTAGGGGGCATTCATACATTTTGGCGCCCCTGTTAGGTGGAAAATATGGCGCCTCAAGCCAATGGCCACTGGCCGTAAAAAAATCCTGGGTTTGCCCCAGTCCTCACTCTAATAAATGTATCAGATATGTATATTCATGGTACTCCGAGCATCCCTCACGGCCCTCACCATAGAGAAGCGTTGATTATCTCAGCACAGATTAACCCGCGCATGACTGGGGGGGGGGGGGCTCTAGAGAGCCCCCGTCCTGTCGAAGGATCGACACGAAACTTGCGGTACCCTCAGCGGCATCAATTTGACACCTTGTGTTAAAATTTCAATTTTCCAGCTGCCATAGTTTGGCCGCAAATGACGTCAGAGTGACGTAATGTCGGCCGATTTTGATTCAAAATATATTCGATTTGACTGCTCGTTCTGAGTTTGTTGATGCCTTTCCTGAATCTCTGTCACAATTCGATCGAGAGTTATTTATGAAAACCCTGATCAGTATGCGGCGGAACACCTTCAATTAAGGGGGGGGGGGGACACTGCCGACTTTTGGTCCCATTCTTTCCATGCAACGCCCATAGGGCTAATGTTAACCCGCGCCGGGCCGGGGGGGGTGTTTGAACACCCCCCCCTGCGGTTTTTCGCAGATGTTTTTGGCACACCTGTTCGTGCATCTTTTCCGCACATGTTGTGAAAATTTCAGACCCAGGTCGCCTTAGGTCAGGTCACCAGGTCACGCCAAGTGACCTCACCTCAGAAAAAAATAGGAATGCTCGTCATAGCTACACCGATTGATCGATTGCCTTGAAACTTTCAGCGATTGATAAGAGCAACTATATCTACAAAATGTATGTTACAGTTAGTATGCGAAATCCGTTAGTTTGCAACGCAACTAGTTTCGTTGCAAACTACCTGACCGGCCAGGTAGTTTGCAACGAAACTAGTTCCGTTGCAAACTAACTGACTGTCCAGTTAGTTTGCAAACTAACTAGTTAGGATGCAAACTACCTAGGTACGTTGCAAACTACCTAGTTACTTTGCAACGGAACTAGGTGTGTTGCAACGGAACTAGTTGTAATGCGAAATCGACGAGGCAGTGGCTCTATTTGTCGGTTATATTAATCTTTTATGTAAATTTTAACAACGGTTGTTAAAAAAAGCTGTGTTTTTCTGACGGGTCACACTAGACATGCGAGTAGGTCGGGCATGGTCACATTTATGGATGAAACAGTGAATAACCAGATTTGACTACATAATGTGACGATCACTGGCGGATCCAGAGCAGGGGCAGTTCCGGGGGGCATTTTGCGATTTTGATTTTTTTTTGCGGCACACACTAACACCAGTCACCGCCGCCGCACAGAACAGAACTGAACTGTATTGTCCCATTGTCCCGTGTTCCGGAGTAAGCGTGCGATCCAAGAATCTGTCTCACCGGCCGACTCCTACTCGACTCGCCTAGCCAGGTGACCTAGCGGCGCCGGGTCATTCGGTAACAGCGCAATGATCAAAGGGCAGGTCGCGTCACAGACTGATCGGTTGTGGAGGTAGGAGCTCGTCAACGGCCTGGTTCTTGAATATTCCGAAATCGGCAGCAGAACCTTTACTTTCCGCTTATGTCTACGCATTTATGGTGATCACTGGCGGTTCCAGAAAGATGGTCTTAACCCGCGCATGACTGGGATATTTTCCATAACGCGAGTGACTGAGGGGGGGGGGGGCTCTCCAGATACCCCCCTCTCCTATCTCCGAAACTACTGGGCCGATCGTTAAAATTCAAACGGTGTCTGATAGCGTTGGAAAAACTGTCGAAGGAAACCTATTTTCATTGACCTCGAGGTCACCGATGACGTCACAGGTTGGGTCAAAATAAAAATTATCGGCAATTTTTGCTTGTTCACAATTTAGGCTCTGGCCGCCGACTGACAAGTCCGATCAGGCTGATTTTTGGTTTACGCACTCCTTGATATATGCCTTAGATACCCTGAGGGTACCAAACTTTTACTTCGATTTTTTCAGGTCAAGGCCAGGTCATCCTAGGTCACGAAAATTTTACATCATGTATCGGTCACGTGACGCATGTTTTATGGTCCATTTTACATGTAGAATTCGAAAATAATGTCGTATGTGTCATTTGAGGTCATTTTCAGCTGAATGTACCGGAGGTCAGGTCAATTTCAGGTCAGAAAATGTCAAATTTTGAAAATGAAATTGTTCAACAAAAAAGGTGCCTATCAGATGCAGTTTGAGCTCAGGAACACGATGGTGTCATTTATTTTACTGTACGATGTAAAAACGTACTGAAAAATGGTTTTGAAAAATATATTACTGTAAACTTCTGACAATAATGCAAATAACTTGGCTATTTTTAAAGATATTGGATCCAGCTTTAAAACTAATCTCTTGAGAGCGTTTGCCGTATTTCAATATGTTGCATCAAAATCGGCCAACATGACGTCACTCTGACGTCATTTCCGGCCAAACTATGGTAGCTAGAAAGTTGAAATGTTTAACGCAAGGTGTCAAATTGATGCCGCTGAGGGTACTGCAAGTTTTGTGTTGATCCGTAAAACGGCTTAGAACATATTGCCGAAAAACGGGAGGGGTGCTCTGCAGAGCCCCTCCCCCCAGTCATGCGCGGGTTAAACGTTGCGGGAGACATAATCCCAAAAAAATCTCCAAATTCCAAAAACCTTTCGGATTTTGATTCCAATCCTTACACACGGCTGTGCAGTCTTAAACAAGTATTTGATTACAAAAGTTGTAAGGTTTTCGTTTCATTCTCATAATAAGTAAATATTTGTCGCTTTCGGGCGCTGCGTGGATGGCGGAGCGATTTCGGGCGCCCTCTCCCCCCCCCCCTTCGGGATCCGCCAGTGATCGTAACGTTATGTAGTCGAATCCGGTGGCGGATGGCGGAGCGATTTCGGGCGCCCTCTCCCCCCCCCCCTTCGGGATCCGCCAGTGATCGTAACGTTATGTAGTCGAATCCGGTTAATTCACTGTTTCTATCCTAAATGTGACCAACCGTCTTATGTCTAGTGTCACCCGTTAGAAAAACACAGCTTTGTTTTAAAGACCGTTGTTAAAATTTACATAAAAGTTGAACATAACCGACAAATAACTAGAGCTACTGCCTCGTCGATTTCGCATTACAACTAGTTCCGTTGCAACACACCTAGTTCCGTTGCAAAGTAACTAGGTAGTTTGCAACGTACCTAGGTAGTTTGCATCCTAACTAGTTAGTTTGCAAACTAACTGGACGGTCAGTTAGTTCGCAACGGAACTAGTTTCGTTGCAAACTACCTGGCCGGTCAGGTAGTTTGCAACGAAACTAGTTGTGTTGCAAACTAACGGATTTCGCATACTAACTGTAACATGTATATCTCGGAATTTTGATATCGGTGACCTAAGGTCAGGTCAATTTTGCGGCCTCTCCATTATAAGTCAATGGGAGAAAATTGAAAAGCGTCTGTTTTGCACGAACGCTATTCTAGACACTCAAACATCGAGATATAGGTACAATTGACAGTCTGAACCGGAAAATGGCAACTGTGACCCCTCGTTATGTCCCCGAGGTCATCTCAGGTCACGAACAGAATCTATCAGTTTTTCGCTAATAACTTCTGATAGAGGCGTGCTAGAGCGCTGAAAACGCCTTAGATGTGTTTGGCTCGACGTTGCGGATCGACTGATATGCAACATGACCTTTTCCGGTCAGGTCATGACCTTGACCTGAGGTCAAATTTTCAAGCTGACCTTTCAAGGTCAAATTATAGTTCATTCGACGCGTCTCGACGAGAGGAACACGATGCTGGCAAAAGTAATGTCATGGCTTTTTTTAGTCAAAAGTTATTGCCAAAAAACCACTTTTCGTAAAAACGGCTATTTTTGAAGTTTTGCCCTCTGGAGGCTAAACCGTTGACCTGAGGTCAAATCTGAGAACATTATCCAGAAAGGTCTGTAAAAGGGCTATCGAATGCGCTTTTCCGCGGCGCTGTAGCTCTATCGGTTCCCGAGATAGCCGTTGGCAGTTTCCAAAATGTTGAAATAGTCAACATTTTACCTTTGGTGACCTCTGGTGACCTGACCTTTGACCTGACCCAAAAAATGACGAAGTGTTTTCGTCCTTATTTTAGACGTTCTTTCGATTGCCGCTTACCGCGTGTCGCTACGTGTCCCAGGAGCCGAGTTAGACGGGGGGGGGGGTGTTCAGACACCCCCCCGGCCCGGCGCGGAATCTCAGAGCACCGGCCCGGCGCGGGTTAAAATGCCAAAATCAAAGGGGGGCACGGTGCCCCGGTTCCGCCGCCTATGACCCTGATTATGTCAAATGATCATAGTGACGTCATTCATGACGGTCAAAAGGTTCAAACTTAAAAAGGCATCTATTTCTGAAGTAGAGACATTGAAAATTTATTCCAGGGTGCTTGAGATATCAATAAATCATTTTCGATGCTACATAGATAAGCAGTTTCAATACTTTCCCAGATAGTGAGGTCATTTTACCGGTCTGAGCTTAGGCGACTTTC